AACCAGAACAGTACTCAGTACTTGAACCAGAACAGTACTCAGTACTTGAACCAGAACAGTACTCAGTACTTGAACCAGAACAGTACTCAGTACTTAAAACATGTTGACCAAAACAAAACAACTAGACCAATCTTTAACGTCAAAAATACTAGTTACCCACACACACAGTTTTTATACACGATAGCAAACTTTCCTTTTAGCGGCAGCGGCATGTCAAAGCACAAAGGACAAATGTATAAAGGGGCTCAACTGATGTTGCAAGCACTTGGGATTTTTTTGTGTTAGCCAATTGGTTTGTTCGCTTGTTCACTGGATGAAAGCTCTCCCTTCTCCCCTGTAATGACCTTCTCACCCCCCCCCCCCCCCCAAGCTTACAGGTCAAGTTTGAGGCATGTGGTAAGCCATTTAAATCTTAACGAGTTGCTGTCTGCTATTTCTTCCATCATTACATTCAGATTTAATACACGTATTTGGTTTGGCCTCTTATCTTCAGCACACTTAAAGGTCTTACCACAAGAGAAAAAGATGTTCAATGCGGATGCCTTTTTTCAAAAGAACAGAGAGGGCAAGTTCGAAAATTGAAACTTCTGCGCTTCAACATCTCATTGAAATGTCAAGGAAACCCATTCAATTCAAAGAGGCCAAGTATTCTACAGTAAATCACAGACCAAAATCAATGTCGAGGAATTCGAGGCGACCCACAGGTGGAGCCATAGCATCCAGGCAAAATACGCCCCATCATTCACCCAGAAAAAGTGGCTGACTGAAGAACTATTGTCGGTGATTATATCCAAAGATGCAACTGATTTCCATGGAGGAAGATGGAGGAGTCCAGAAGTTCAATAAAAATGAAACCGATCACTCAAAATTCAGCAGCTAACTTTCGGAGCTCAACTAAAAGAAAAACCAAAAAGATAAAGCTCCAGCCGCGCCCTCCCCCCCAAAAAAAACAACAAAACAAACAACAACAAAAAACAAACAAACAAACAGAACAAAAAATTCTTATTTAATATTTGTATGAAATAAAAAAAATATTTTAAAAATAAAATAAAATACAAAAAAATAAAATAGAAAAACAAGAACTGACAAAAAAAGTTCAAAGACCACTGCAACAAATCTGCCATTGTAAAGGAAAACGACAAATGGTCTGCGCAGGTAGCAAGGCAAATTTTTCAGGTGAGGCAAAAAATGTTCACTTTATACTTTACTAGCTGGGCCCCCTTTCGATGAAAGGAATGATCGGTGCTAATATTAACTAAAAGTCATTGGCCTACTATATATTTACACTCCACTGGAATGGGACAATAAATCGTGTGAGATGCAAAAAACTAAAAGGTCTCGATCTATACTCTCAAAACAAAATGCGCC